CCTATGGAAAATCTGATTTATGAGACTTTGGTTCTCTATTTATATTCTTCGGAGTTATGTATCCTCTTCTTTTCCCAAATGGTGTATATGTATCAAGCTTAGGAACAGGTAGTGGAACCTCCTCGTCGTCCATACCTCACTGTAACACCAATCGACACCTATCCCTATCCAAATGCCATCAAACTCTCATATTTTATTCCCTTAATATTCAACAACCACATCCCCGCTAAATCCCATACCAAAATACCTTATAGAAGCCATAGAATTGTATCACCTAGTATTAGAGCCCGTCAAGCTTTAGATTTTTCAGGGTTTTAACTTTCTAGTCACAATCCAAAATTCTTTATATCCAAATCATTCACAACCCCGATCCTCGATTTTTAAAATCCAATATTCCTAAATTCATCAAATTTCCACCCTAAAACCTACAACCAACACCTAATTAAGCCTCAACCTACTTTTGATTTGCAATTCTACATCCACCGAAAATCAAATCAAGAGAAAATGATGTCATGCCACCAAGGAGAAACCCTCAACTAAATGTCTAGAAACTCAACATTCAGAATATGCAATGAAAAATTCTCAAAATACAATAGAGGTTTGCCACCTTTGAGAAAAGACAATCCGGTCAGGTCACCGTATAGTGACTTGCCAGATCGATGAAATGAGTATCAAGAAGTTTTATTGACAAAAAAACACTACCCAAACAAGTTGGCATGGAAAATAAGAGTTAGGATGTTTGACTGAAGATTGATTTACCAGATTGTAACAGTTGCATGTATCCAAATGAGTTTATCAAGTGGTAATAAATAGCAAAAGGGGTCTTTAAGTATAAGGATATGATGTGGGGATAGGTAAGCCAACTGGTTCAGAATAGGTAAGCCAACCGGCTGAACCGACAGGCAGAAGAAAGGAAATGGTCTGCCTGATTCCTTAAAGTCCCATTCCAAGCCCCAATTGGATCTGTCGGCTATTTGGGAGTGGTGGCACTGTCCCCAACCTTCCCTTCTTTCCTTTCTTGTGTTTTATCCTCATGGAATCTTTTTAATTGTTGTTAGAAGCAATCAAGGTTAATTTTGTTGTGTTGTTGATTTCAGATTCTCCTTGGAGTCCTCTTATGCCTTGCTAGGATTGTATCCGACGATGAGTGGTGCTTCGATCGTATCTTACTCTAAGGTGGTGTTGTATCCTTTCCAATCTCCTCCCCAACATCCTCCCTACCTCTCCTAGCCACCAACCATCTTCCTCCCTTACCAGCCAGCCCCTCCTGCACCCAACCAACTCCTGTACAATAACTCCTTGTCGTCCAGCCCGCCTCACCATCAACCGACACCCATCCACTTCCTTCCTTGCCAACCAGCTCTTCCAATGCTCAAAACCGTACATTAAACCACTTTCCACCCTGCCTTATTGGCATTCAACCCTCCCTTTTCCCTTGCCTCTTCACCGAAGCCACCCCCGCCCTTAGATCTTTTTCTTCCGACCCTAAGCATAGATTGATGTTGTTGAATTTTCCTTTCCAATTTGTGCTGTGTCATAACACTAATTTAGTGATTAACAAAGTTTGTTTTTGTTTGCTGTTTCAAACTAGTTCTAGTATCATTTATTATCATAGCAAGTCTAACCCTAATCCTATCGTAAAGTTTCCTAGCATCTTCCATAAACCAAAAATCTTCTTTTCTACCACCAAATACACTTTTCGCTTACACAACTCTCAAACCCTAATTATGTCAGTAAGAAGATAGACGTCGGAGCCTACCAGAGAAGGGATAATGCGAGAGCTATGTCGTCTTCAACAGAGGCTTGCAAAGATTGATAGAGATGACCCAAGGAAAGGTCGCCCTCAACTGAAAGAGAGTAGGATCTAAATCCCTTTCAAAGGGAGAATTTCAACGATAAAAAAGGCTGGTCACGACGTTTCAGAATTCAGTATCAGAGAAAGCCTAAAGAGGGGTATCTTAATTCCTTCCATTGGGAGAATTTCAAAGAGAAGATATCGTTTGGAGAAAACAGACTTCAATATCAAAATTGATCTGCCAGAGTTTGATGGAGGAATGGATCGAGAAGACTTTATTGATTGACTGCAATCAGTTGAACGGATCTCTGAGTATAAAATAGTCAAATTAGTTGCTATCAAGTTAAACAAAAAAAAAACCATTTTGTGGTGGGAGAGTTACAAAAACAGAGAAAAAGTAAAGTCAACAATAAGATTACCAAGTGAGAGAACCGTTAGGATATATTTCTAAGGCTCCGCCACCTGTAGCAGAGGGATCAATCGTTAGAGTTCACAGAGAAGTTTGATCAGTTGTAGAAGAGGTGTGAATTGGTCGAGCCAGAGGAGCATACCATAGCTCATTATCTAGGGAGCTTCAAACCAGCAATTAGTAACGTGGTGCAGCGCCAGCCTTAATCGTCACTTGGAGAAGTTCATACTGTAGCGTTGAAAGTGGAAAAATGATAGGAACAAAGTATGTAACAGTCATCCTTCAGGCAGTAGCCTTCAACAGTCACCAATATCTATCATCATCAATAAGGGTACCTCAAAACTAGCAAGCCAAAACAAGTTAATAGTCGGATCAAAGTGAGAAGAAATGGGAGAAAAGTAACTCCTCCAATACAGTACCAACCAGGAAGTGTTTCAGGTGTCACAGTCCCACCCGTTTTAAGCTTTAAATCGTCGAAAACTGGTCAAAACCGACAGTTTAATCAGTAAACTAGCAATCCGGTTCAGCCGGTTTAAACAAAATTCGGTAATCCCACTCTTAAAATCTTGTGAAAGGCTATTCTTAATCCATTGTCTTACCTATCGGGCAAAGGCACAACGAAGCTCTCCAAGGCTCGAATCACAGAACCGTCACTCTTAAAGGCTCGAAGCTCTCCTTCTCTTCTCTTCTCTTCTCCTTCCCAGTTCTTGGCTTCGTGCAAGCGTTCAAAGCTCTAGTTGGAAGCAAAGCATTTTTAATTCTACCCATGAGTCGAACACCACTGTAAGCATTTTTAATTTTTCGGCTTCAGGCCTCCATTTTTTTTTCCTCAATAGTCAAGTCCTCTAACAGAGGACCTCTATAAGTTTCTTTATATTTTTTTTTGGTGGTTTGTGGTTTGCCTTAATTAGATGAAAATTATTTAGATTTATTGTTGGGCTCATGACATTCATGCCTTAATTTAACTTATTTTTATCCCCACGGAAATGAGGTATATATTAATTGTTTATGTTGTTCTATTATGACTTTGGGTAGAGTTGACTGGTTCATTTGCGCTTGGATTCTTGGTTTCTTTTTTTTTTCTTAGGTAATGATAGTTATTTTTTATAGTATAGATTTAGTGGCTAGTTTGTTCAAATTGTTTTTTTTTTATTTGATGGTTGTATTTCTAATTTTATGTCTATATATTATGGAAGATTTACACATCTAACATCTTATTTATGTATGAAAAGGTGTATTTCAGTTTTGAAAGTTAAAACAGTGATATTTTTTGTTTGCTATGAAAAATTTTGGTGGTATGAAAGTAAGAAAGCAATGTTTAGGTGTTAGATAGATAAATACATAAGCATTGGCCAGTATCTATGTAAATACCCTCTCATCTATTAATAAATTAGATGTTATTCCAAGATCAGTTTGATTTTAATTATTTGTGTTTTATATTTTACATTATGTATTGTCTAAGATTTTATTTTAATACAACTAATGACTCATTGGTGTTGTGCTTATAATTTTGTAATTTCCATCTAAAATTTAAAATATTTGTTTATTTATATTTTTTATGTCATCCAGTTCAACCTCGGTTGAACAGATGAACCTTAAACTTCTCCTTCATCTGGTTTGATGTTCGGTCTGTTTTTCAAAACCTTGCCAATAGAAGCATCTAAGCCAACCTTGCCTAAAGATAAATTAGTTCAGAGTGGAAAATAGGTAAAACCAACCAACAATCCCATATCTGTCCTAGCAAAGTATCACGGTATATCACATTGATAACGTGGTAAAGTTGCAACCTTATTGAACATTACAGGATATTTAGACCTAACTTCAATTATGGAGAAACAACATCATCATGTAACCGTTACACCTTACAGGCAGGATTTAGCCCCATGATCAAATACCAATAGTACACCAATAGAAGCATCAAAGCCAACTGACCAACTAAAGATAAATTAGTTCAAAGTAAACAACAGATGAAGCCAACCAACAATCCCAGAGTCGTCCCAACCAGAAAGTGCTTTAAGTGCCACGATTGTGGGCAAAGTATATCAAATTGCCCAAACAAGAGAATATCCTCTTTTACAGAGTAGGAAATAATTGAAGAAATAGAAAGTGACAAAGGAGAGGATGAAGAAATCGCAAATGAGTCTCAACTTTCTGTTCTATTTAGATAGGGGATTTCCTGCCTTTTTAATCTTTATTATTTTTCTTTTGGCTGTCATGGGTCCAATGGACCATTATTTCTTTTCATTCTCTTCTAATTAGCTTAATTATTAGTATAAATATCCAATGTAAAATCTGATTTAGGGGAGTTTTGGCACTGTTATTTTTTTGAGACTTTGGTTCTTTATTTTTACTCTCCGGAGTGTTGTATCCTCTTCTTTTTGCAATATTTATTTGTATCTTATTTAGAAACATGTAATAAAATCTCCTTGCCACCTTTACCCAGTCGTGCCTCCATTCGACTGCTGCTACAGTTTGGACAATAGTCGAACCGCTTGATCTGCTGTCCCATGGAAAATTTCATTGCTCGTCTCCTTCCAAATGCTGCTAATCAACGCCTATCCTAATCCAAACGTAGCCAAACTCTCATATTTTATTTTCATGTTATTCCACAACCACATCCCTACTAAATTCCATTTCAAAATCCCTTCTAGGAGCCCTGAAATGGTTTCAGTAACATTATAAAATGCGATAAAACATTGCATAAGCATTACTAAATTAATCAATTAACCCTTCAGAGTTCAACTATCATTATAGCAAAAAAAGTGAGAAACTAATAAAGAATAGAAGTACACGTACTTCAATCAAGGGTTCTGTAATATTCAATTTTAACTGGTGGGTTGAGTCCATACAAAAATTTGTAGTTGCAGATTGGCTCAAGTGGATGTTTCCCCCTTCCTTTCTTACTAAGCTGAACTGAACATTCCACGGCTCAACAAATGGTTCCCACATAACCTAGGAAATATATGAGCAAATCAGGAAGTTAAATAAGCACCTTTGGAAGGCTAAAAGTTTTAGAAGATCTAGATAGCATGCTTTATCAATATTATCGTAATTTATTTCAATATAATAATAACATGCCTTGTCAATATTATTGTAATTGATTACAAGATCAGAAAAGCCAGAGCCCTCCAAGCTATCCATTGTCTGGTTGGACTGAATAACCATGTTCTTTATCAGGATCTCCAGGATAGGTCCGTGGAAGCTCTGCTGAAAAAGGTAAGAAGAGTGCATGAAAATGAGAGGGAAGGTAATGATCCGAACAGAAGCAAAGAGAAAAAGACAAGCGTATTTAAATAACGAAAGACAGAATTCCTTCAGTTTCCAGAAAGCAATATGCCGTGTGGATGCACTAATGAATAGTTTTAAAAATCAAATAACAAATGAAAATAGCAACAGAAGTGTTTTACTGAAAATACACCAAAGTAAATAAAAAAGTAGACACCCAGACTATCATTGTCTAGCATCATTAAACAATGAAATCACATACCCTTCGATCACTCAAGAGTAGAGCTCCCTTCATTAATCTAACTTTCAGCACTATGCTTTGTGATGGCCTCTTAAAAGCTATTGTTTCATAAGTTCTGAACTGATTGTGGCTCCAGAATTTTAATATTTGATAGGACAATTCAACATCAGCAGAGGTTACTTGAACATCAAAAAAAACTTGCATCAATCCTTCTCCATTATATATCTCGGCTTCTAATTTCACATGAGAAATATATACGAAAGGAAGTGAATAAACTTCATGGTCTTGATCTATCTCCAACACAGTTCTAATCTTTTCCACATTACATTCAAGTTTCATATATTTTTTGCTTAAAGTTAACTCGCAACATTTACTCTGCAAAGTTATCTTTACATTCCTACAAAACTTTAATCGAAAGAGTGACTCATCTTCAGCACATGTAGCATTAAAAGCATGGCATCTTTGTTCCTGCCTTCCTTTAGGTTCTTCTGAATTTTCTTCCTTGTCCCAGAAGGGCAAGTGGAATACAATCATTATGTTTCCAGATTTCATGGATAAAAGCACAGTTTCCTCCATGACATTTTCAGAAGCAGAAGACAAAGATACCTCATGTTTTGGGATATTTTGAAGTGGAGATTCTAGAGTTGCAGTTGTTGATGACATAGTCATGCTAATTTTTTTCTTGCACGAACCAAGAAAAGCATATATGCTATCCCAATCTGACATATGCAACCAAATATCAAGTGCTGGCACAGTAAGTACAGTTTCCGCTTCCCAATCGGCAGATCCAGAGAAGTTTATGCTAAGGCGGAAGGCCGCATTTCCGTTAGAGGTGAATGACACTAATACAACATCACTGAGAAAAGAATGAAGAAGTAAACTGGAAATATCTACATCAAGGGATTTTGGTAAACCATTACATAATGTAGCCGAACAATCAAACCTCACATATGCTTTAGCTATGGTCTCCGGTGAACAAGAATGTTTCTCCCTGGAGTGAGAAAATATTATTGATAGCGCCCTGAGACGCATTTTCATAAGAACAAAAGACTCAACTATCATGTCAAGACTAGTAGAAGCTTTGGCCTTCTTTTTCTTCTCGAGATGCATAAACTCTAAGACACCAGACCGAAAATATGCAGATTGTTTGCCAACCAAAGAAAGCTGATCAATAACATTCACAGCTGCTTCAAGTCCATCAATGAAGTAGTTCCCTGCAAGAGAATAAGAAGAATTGCTAAAAGAGTTTAATAAATCGTCTTTGTTTAGGAAACTGAAATCTTTCTAAAAGCATGCAATATATTATCTACTCATAATACTGTACCTTCAACTATCAACTTGCAAATATCCACACTCATCATGATCAAAGATGGAAATTTAAAATTTTCAGCTGAATCTTCCATCTTGCAAGGTATTCTCAGCCACATGTCCGCATCTAAATGCTCAATAAAGGAAAAGTTTTCATTAGAGATGTATTCACAATGCTTGAATAGATAATCGGCATCCTCCTTGATTGGCACTAAAGATAATGATAAGCTTCTCCCAAATAAGTTGAAGATATTAAACTTGTTAGCAATAGCATTGGATGAGACCACACAGCCAAGAGGAATATCCTTGAAAATAATGTCCATGCTACTTTCAAGAATAACATTACAGCAAAATTTTGGAATTTTAACTTGTAAAACAAAATCTGTATGGTTCTCCACAGGTAAAATTAATATAGAGTCAAGTATCTCAAACTTGTAAATGATATTAGGTTCTTCTCTTAAGTGTTTGTAGGGCTCATCTGTTTTCATATTCCCCATACACGCCCAATCAGGCAAAGAGAAGTAGCCAATCAACATGGCCAGAAATTCAGATGTCAAAATGCAGGACACGTGCTGTATGCCAAAACTAATTTCAACCATTGTTTCCTTTTCTTCTTTGCTTGCTCGAACATTTAGAATAGGAGATATGGTTGATGAAAAAGATCCCCAAACAACCTCGTGGGAGGACCAAGATGAGGAAAGTGAAAGCCCATCAGTCGACACTAGCACATCCCAATAGCCAGTCCCTTGTAATGAAATTATAGAGCCAATATGAGGAATACTTACTGTGCCCAAAATACAAGAAGAATCATGAAAATGAACTTTAGCATTATTTACTTTGATATCAATCGAGATGATATCATAATGCGTAGTAAGCTGGTGATCATCTGCTGAAGCGCAATTCCCATTTCCCATTGTTGAATAGTTCATGGTTGTGAATCTTTTATTTATGCTAGACTTGTGGATTTTAGGGCATTTTTTATCAATCACACGCATGTCCTGAAATCCATTAACACTGTGGATGATTGAGATATCAAGATTGGATGGAGAACCTGAATTGGGGATAGTCAGAGAAGGAAAATCATCCACAGAAATGCATTCACACGAGGATGTATCAGAAGCACAGAAATTAGAGAAGCTAAACTTAGCATGCTCAACACCAACTCTATCGAAGTTATCATTCTGATCCAGTTCTTTAGAACTCACAAAAGAAGTGGAAGAAAAAAATTTCTCACTAATGCTATTGAAAAATCTCTGGAGCAAACCACAGATTCTAGGATAGACATGAAAATCAACTTCACATAAGGAAACACTACATTCATGCTGAACAGTATTAATCTCAACATACGTTCTATAACGCAATTGAAAGCAAAGCTCTTCAGGAAAGTTTTTACTACATGAAGCACTCCTTAGGATAGTGCAATCAGACTCCACAGGATTGTGCAAAGCTGAATTAGCAGGACCACTCCTCAATGAGCATAAAATAATCTTATCGTGCTCACTATTCAAGTTAGAAGTACCAAACATAATTTTCTCCACAAGACAACAAAGATCATTTGATTTTCCGTCAGTAAACCTGAGAACAAGATGCCCATAAATATTCATGCTTTTAGAGGAAGCCACATGTTATAAAATGCAGTTCAAACAAGAATGATCGACCCTCACCTGATAGCTATCTTGCTAAAGGTGCATAAAACCACTGAATCATAATCTACTTCGTCTTCAAGATCAACATGGATATTGAAATGGTCTAACTCCAAAGAAAATGAAAAGAAAAATGCACCAAGAACATCTGGTTTATCAAACTTGCTAGGATGCTGAACTCTTAATGACAGTGATGCAGATTTCTTTTCAAATAACTCGTACAATCTCATAAATGAGAACAAAACATTTTGAGAGAACCTCATGCAGATCAACGGCATTAGACAACTAACCTGCAATATAGCAAAGACAAACTTGTAAACAAAATTAATTTTAAACATAGAATGACAGAGGACAATAGATTTTACTAAAATGTAACATATTGCATATGAAAGGCAAATAAAATATTTTCAATAAAGAGGCAGGAAGAACCTCAGCTCTTAAGCCTTAGAGAATATGATAAGAACATGTAGATGTTAAATTGTTTTGGAAATTTAGTTGATCGACCTTTTCAGCATATGAATACCATAGGCACAAATCGCTAAATATCTAGCTAGGGCATAAAGCCACTTGGTTCAGTTAATTTTACCCAAAGGAAATCTGCCCCCATTTCTTAACGTTCTAAAAGCAATTGGCCTCTCTCACATCTCCACCAACAAGCCCCCTTTCCCTTAACAGGACCTCCAACTGGTTTTTATGAATCCACAATTTCCATTCACTGTTGCTGAATGCTGCCGATAGTGCTAAACCTATTCTTCGCTAAAATTTTTACATGACTTTTATCAATGTTACTTTCGTTATAATATTTTTCTTTCCTAATAGTTTAACACTAATTTTATGTCTGTCTAATGGGAACAATTTTGTAACATTTATTCTACATTGTCAAACCACCAACATCCGAGTTATCTTCAATAGATGGTAGGATCCTGTAATATAATTATTAAACTGTGTTATCTTCAATAGATGGTAGGAACCTTTAATATAATTAATTCATAGTTTAGTTTTTCAAATTTATTGCACATCCATTTTAATATCCACATTCATGCACACTCAATTTAACTATGAGTGACCTTTCAATTTTCTAGAACATCAATTCATACAGCATAATCAAGCTCAATGCAATACCTTCAAGTCTCCATAACATACGCTAATTCTAAAATGCTCCTAAAGCACTTCATTTTAATAACCCAACATTACCTCTACAAGTAACTTATATCAACTCAGATGGTTTTAGATAATAGATCTGATATACTTATAACTATCATGCATATATAATGCTTCATCTTCTAAAATGATAATAGATCTGATATACTCATAATTATCATGCGTATATAATGCTTCATCTTCTAAAGTGACTAAATGACAATTGTTAATACGATACCAATTGATATTACATATCATTTAGTATTCTTTGTTCGACTGGTTCCATGTTCTTTGCAAATGACTCAACGAGTATTCAAACTATCCAAGTCATTCTTAATCATCTTATTTTTAATAAATATTACTCAAATGATCATTTAAGAAAATTATTCTTAATTTGTCCTTCCTAATTTTGCTACACATCCATCTTACCATTTTCATTTTCTCACATTCAACTTGGCTACAAGTGACTTTTTTGCCCAAAACTTCCAATTCATACAAATCAATCCTCTTATCATATAATGCAACTAAGTCACCATAACATCCTCTTACTATATAATGCTATTAAAGAATAACTCTATTTTAACAACCTTTTGTACTTAACAAAGTTAGGTCCTCATATGTATTTATATAGAATAAAATATTGACGATATTTGTACTTATCATGCATATATATCATCTTAGCTACTACGGATACTAAGATCATATATGAAGTTTTGGTCTACAAGTTAAGTTTTTTGTATATGTTTCATCGATAATAACTAAAAAAATCTAAATAAGACACAACAAGATGCCTCTGAATGAATTTCGTTTATATGCATCTAAATAATCAATATAAAAAAATATAGGCTCAAAAATGATTTGAGATGTAGTCTTATCAAAATTAGAAACCCTTTGGTCACTCATTAGCCAACATTATAGTTTTCTTCCCCCTCTTTGTTTCAACTTAAGTTCATGGTTATATTTTGCATGCTCTATCACAAATCTTAAATCCAATTAACCCCATGTGAACTTGAATCTCCTCTTCATAAATCATAATAAAAATCCTCCAAGCTCATCTCCACGTTCATGTTTGCATGATAAGAGACCCTCACGCAATGATTGTTCCTCTCCCTCGCCTCCTCTATTGGTGCCCTGATGGATCATGCGAAACGTTTATCAATGCAAAAGAAATTGTGACCCTTGTGCAAATTTTGCATGAAAATCTTGTGCGACCTTCCAACAGAGTTTTCTTGCTTTCTATTGTCAGGTTCATATGAAAAATTTAACATCCACTTCAAGGTGTCAGCATCTCGGCCCTTCTCGCTCCCTTTGGCACCAAAAGCAACACTCGCCATGATGTCCTTTTTGCTCTCTCACTTGTGTTATATTTTTGCTCGTCTGATAATAGCAGTTGTGTTCACCATCTTCCATTAATCATAATTAAAGAATCATTTGTAACGACTTGGTCACTTCAATTTACATCTCCTCTAGCTATGGCTTCTTCCAGAGTATTGATCAACCTTAGTGAGGTCGCTACTTCCTTCCTAGGTGTCTCTTGAGTTTTTTGAAGCCACTTATTTCCTCCCCGATGATTGTGCATCCCTCGCATCAAACTCCATGCTCATTTACAAATGTTGTTTGTAGTTCGAATGCTACAAACATTCACCCCTTCAGCTTAGATTTTACATAATTCAACAACTCAACAACATAAAAACTTTCGTCTTTTCATGACAAGACTCTTCTCCTTTTTTCAATGAAAATATTCCTATGCTTGCAAGGCCTCTCGCTCTCTTATTGGCAAATTCTCTATTGATCAATCATATGAGCATGAAGGTAATTCATAAGTTCAGACATTACCCATTACAAATGACAAGAATTATTTGATCAAATTTGGTCGATTATTCCCTTTAATTAAGTAGATCAAGGTTCATGATAATTTTGGACGATGAAATCATGGGATCTTGATTAGATTAATCATCCTTTCTCGTCCGCTACAGGCTAACGATAATACATTTCTTCAATCTAAAACAAAATAACTGTTATTATACATTAAATACAAAGCACCTAACACCTAGCTTTAATTAAAATTTCTTCCTCATCACAAAGAGTGGTATGTAAATAAAGAGGCTTTGTGTTTTTCATAAGCTTGAAACAAAATTACAAAGTCCTCATAAAATGAGGGCAAAATTATTGAAAGTGTCTTATTTAAAATATAATATTCCCTTTACTAAGGTGTAGAGGTTAATTTATTTCTCATGTGAAGGTAAATTTAAGAAAATCCGTACATTAATTTCCAAGATATTAAAGACATTCCCCTGAGCAAACTTCCACAATAAAAATATTGTATCCCAATTCTCAAATCAAAGGCAAATGAAATTAATCATCATTCTCCCAACTACATCATCATTATCATCATTACTCAACAATTATACCAATCAATTAGCTAGCTAATTTCGGAGTACAACAATCTCCACCTTTACTCCACTCTGTATCGGTTCCTCCTCTGGCTAAGTAGACTTGGGTATTCAATTCAAAGTACTCTGAATGCTCGATCCAATGGTTGAACTCTATTTGAATGGTGGTGTGGACTTCATATCATTGTATTGTCTCTCCACCTTTAGGGCAAGGATCTGAACGTCTTGTAATGTCGAATAAGATTGCGACTATATCACATTAATATTAAACAATCTCAATCCCTTTAAATATCAAGCTATGACATTCTCTTTGGGCTCCACTAACCCTTAATTCAACATCTGTTGCTCAAACTCGGCTATGAACTCTAATGAGAGATCTTTCTATTGTAACTGGTAAAAGCTCAAGAACATATCTTACTTGAAATGCGGTGCTAGATGCATGTGTTGTATCTCCTTTTTCCCTCATGCTGGTATAGATGCTTCAAATTTTTCAACCACAACAACACTCTTCTTTAACTTGATGGTGACTTAACTTAATCATTTTGTCTAGAGAAATATATTTGTATTCAAAGAACCGTTCCACTGTTTAAAGCTATAAACTCTACTGGATCCTTGCAACCGTCAAAATCCTATAAATCTGCATTTACTCCAAGATCCTGACTTCTCTAATATTTTATACCAAATCTTTGAGGTGGCGGTTCTTCACCATTGGAAACTTCCTGTGGAAGGGATTCACTTCAAGTCTGTTTCGGGTGGCAGCAGAGGTGCGGGGCAACACGGAGATGCGAATTTGCGTCGTATGGGGTGGCGGCGGCACCAGCTCCCCTCTCATGTTTTCTCTTGTGCCTCACTCATCCCCGTCCCACATTTGTTCGGTTATTTTCCTGTGCCCCACTCCTCCTCGTCCTACATTTGCTCGGTAATTCTCCTCTTCTTTCTCTTCGTTCCTCGACACCTGTGAGGAGGGTTTTTAAGCGGTTTGTTTCTTCTTTCAATATCATGTCCCTTATCTTTTTCTTGGTCGATTGCTTTGTTAGCTGTATTGGTTTCTTCTGTTCACTTGGTGGATTTACTTGGTGGGATTAGCTCAAGGAAAAATTTGGAATGAATTAAAATGAGGATCAATGGATCTGGAGCGGGATCTGGAGAAACGAACCATTGATGCTCCCGAGGAGTGGTGGGTAGAAAGACCTGCGGTAAGCATTTTTAAAATGTCTCCTAATTTGATCAATTACATTTTGCTTTTAAATTGAAGTAAATTTGTAGGTGGTGCATACTGCAAATAAATTTAAAATCAGGAGACTTGATCCTGAGTTGGAGGAGAACTTGGATCAAATGTTTGGGGGTATCGTTGCTACGGGCAACAATGCATGTACCCCCAGTGAGACAGTGTTTAGTGGCACCTCCGAAAACTTGGAAGTCAGCCAATCAGGTGATTCCACTGAAGTCCTCAGCCCGAACCTCCATGAACTTGAGTCCACCTGCCATTCTAAGCATCCTCAGGATGAGAATAAAAAGAAAGTGGGAGTTGTTTTCCTTAAAAGCCAGATATCACAGCTCGTTGTTTCATGCAACACTGAATCCAGCACATGTCAAGCAACTTCTATCAACCAGGTTCTGCAATTTTTGAATGAAAATATGAATTTTTTTAGGAGTCGCCACTGTACTTGTTTGCGATATAATTGTTTGAAGATCCAACCCGTAGAGAATGTCCGGAGACCGTAGGGTGACGTGCCTACGACATTTTTATAATCGCAGGAACATTTAAGATACTTTTTTATTTACAATCACTTGAAATATATATGTTTGTGTATTGTTTTTCATTTTGCTAAGGATATTTCAACTGTCTCAGACACGACTTATTCAGTGATGCTTATATGTTTGCATTGTTCGTAGTCTGATATAATTGTAGTTAACTTGTTGATACTTTTGTGTTAGCGAGTATGATATTGATATACATAGATTCAACTAGAGAAAAGCGCAGAACGAGAGTTGCAGTTGTCGTATGCTTGAAGTACGAATATTATAACTAGTGCATAGTTGCTTCCCTTGTATGACATCCTCATATGTTGGGGACAAGTGGATTGGAGAGTTGTTCATGGGTCACCCAACAAAATTTAGCAATATGTTCCGCTCAACACAAAAGGTATTCAACGATCTGTTGGAGAAACTACACAAAAATTTGGACTTCATAGCTCTTCTAGAACGACAACACAAGAGATGTTGGCGATAACCCTTTACATATTATCCCAAAATGAACCAATGTGATGAGCAATGAAACAATTTCAACACTCTTCCAAAACAATCTGCAGATACTTCTCAGTGGGGTTGAAGACACTTGTGAGTTTTTCTTCACAAGTTATAAAACTAACAGATCCAACGTTCAAACGGACATCCACAGAGATTTCACACGATGCATGGTGCATGTCATTCTTTAAGGTAAAGTCTTGAACACAAGTTGATGCACGTGTTTCAATATAAAAAGAAGATCGCATTCATCGGTCATTGTGGGTTCCTGATGCAGAATGTCATGGTTGTATGCAACTTCAACATGTATTTCACCTTGTCAGAACCTGTTGGGATGACAGTGCACATGACAGTAGAATTTTCAAAGCTAAAACACAGAATAAGTACAACTTCCCACATCTTCCTGCAGATACGCTTGAGACTCAGCTACTCTCGTAATTCACTATTACCTCACCACTAATTATGCAATCAATATCACATAAATACTACTTGGTTGATACTGGATATCTGTTTACGAAATACCATACATCTAACTTTGAACGAGTAAGCAATGTAACAAGGGGCAGAAAATAAATGTTCAATAAAAGAAATTCCCCCTTACACGATGTCATTGAGAGAACTTTCGATATTTGAAAAAAAAATGTGTTATATTTTGCGATATGTCGTCTTGCCTGTTTCCCAAATTAGTGCAGATTGTGATTGTCACGATGACACTCCACAATTACATTTGGCGGCATCCTTCCTGCAACGAGATCGACTTCCGTAGGGAGGACGAAGATCATGAGCATGTACCTGCCGAGGCTTTTGAGTACCATCTTGAACATTCTTTGTCACAGCTTAAGAACGATGTTTCTACCACTTATACTTCAGGTGGGGAAGTTGCAAGCGAGATGACAAAGTTGAGGGAATAAATTACTGATGTGATAGGAGTGATTGGAATATTTATTAGTTTATTATTCGTACTTTATTCAATAATATTTATATTTTATTCAGTCTCTATTTAATTTATTTTCTTGTATATTTGATATTAATTGTTTAGGCTTTTTACGCTATTTGTGAGTGTTTTTTTCCATTTGCATTTCCTTTATTTTTCTTTTAATGGATTTGAGAGGTCAATGATGAGACGTTTGACCTTATGAGTTCTTTTAGATTGTCTCTTAGTCGCTATTGGTTAGTGTCACTTATGAAATCCTAATGAAGGCAACCAAGTTCCTCTCTTATTTTCGGTGCAGTAATTTTTTAGGTTTTTCTATATGACGTTTTTTGGTCATATGCATACGTGACACACTCGAGTTTGATATTATGTGTGTTAAAGGCAACCAAGAACATTTTTTTTACAAGATCGGCTGTCTTTTTATAGTAACATATTTGTTGGTCGATATAATGAGTTTTCTGAGACCTCACGCCTAAGCAAAATTGTAATTAATTAATTCTTCTATGAATTTCAATTTATGTTATTACTAAAGGATTGTATTTTAAATAATGCAGGAAAGATGAGCTCTAGGATTTCTGAGACCTTTCGAGTATTGTTGTGTCATTGTGGATTTCAGACTTCCCTGCTGATGTCCTGTCGGTCACATATCTACGGGAGACAGTTCAACAAGTGCTCGCGGAGAATCACGAAAAAGTGTGACTTAGTTTGGTGGGCAGACAGTCTAACAAATTCCACCGCCGAGAGTGATCGGGAATGGTTAGTATCACCGAAGGACAGTAGCTCGTGATATGCGCAGTCTGTTTTTTAAAAATAATATTATCATATTATTATATGTAATTTTAATAATTTTTTTCTTTATTTGAGTAATTATGATACTCACTGTTAAGTAAGGTGTATATCTTATTTTATACAGTTCTGAAATGGATTTTTGCTTCTCAAGTATCAAATATATTGTCATGCTAGTTCTATTACAAACAACGTTACTGCACATTTGCAGAATAACCATTTGTCCTGAAACAACTCTCATAGCTGTTTGTCAAACTATAAAAAAAAATAGTTAGTCAGTTTATCAGCAGTACATTCTACGCAACAGCTTCCTGAGGTAGTTGATGCGCAACAACTTATTCATAAGTTGCAACTACCCCAAACAGACCATTCATCATTTCGATCCGACAAGTCACCATTATGACTATGGGTGACATCTCCAAATTATCTCCTCTTGAAGGTTGTAATTTTTGTTGCGGTCAGAGAATTTTTTACATATACTTTCCATATAAAATTTATTTACAATATTGTATCCTTTCCTCCGATCAGGTTTACGACAATTGTCTCCTCTGTGGCATGGTTTGGGCTTACGTTTGAAAGGTAAATGGGGTGTATAAGTTGGTATCCAGTGGGGATAAAAATTTTGGGGGATGAATTGAAAATCAACAAGGGTGTGGGGATTTTTCGGTAATCATAATATGAAACTAGGGTTAAGCTAGCTCTGATACCAAATGGTACCGGAATTAAAACCCAAAAACAATGAAACATGAAAATTATTACTAAGATCCAATATAAAATTACAAAAAAACAAACAAAATCTTAAATTACAACAAGCGACAACACAAATTCACTTTAGAGTTAGATCCAGGGTAGTGGCCGACAAGGTTGAATGGAAGAGGCGGTAGATGACTAGAAGAGCGGACAAACAACAGGCTTGTTGTCTTCTGGATGACGACAGCGAGGGGAAGGGTTACGACAAGATATAGATGGTTGGAACAACAGGAACCAACAAGAAGAGGCGAGCCTGGGTGGCGTTAGCAAATCTGGATGACTAGATAGTAGCAAGAAACAACAACAAGGAAGGAGGGTTGGAACAACGGGAAATCAACAAGGGAATGTAGCTCTGAGCAGTGACAACAATGGAGGGAACCATGGGAGTGAAGCTAAAAAAACAAAGAAGGGTAAAGAAAGGATAAGTCACCTCCACGAGAGCAAGATTCAGTCAAAGCACCAGCTGACTCTTGGATACAACCCTAGAAGGGAAAACTAGATAAACTGATGGTTGTCCCAAACAAACACGTGCAAAAACTAACCTTAATACATCATGAAGGCAAATTTATAATAATAGAATAACTAAAAGTGGGCCCAAGAGACCAGCCGACATTGAACAACAAGGAGAAGTCTGGACCAAGCAAGTCCACAAAAGTCTGCGCTTCGCCCGCTTTCAGACGCGGGAGGCGTTCCGCTTGCTTTCAAACGGCCTGCATCCAACACCAAGTAAAAATAATAGTAAAAAATTAAAATCCAAAATTGAAAAATCGGCCAAACTCTAAATTTTGTTTCTAATAATGCAAATGTACTTAAGTTATTACATCAAAAACTTTCATACACATTTGTTTAATATTATATTTATTATTATTTTATATTGAAAAGAAAACAACACATACAAAGTAATACACTAAGTAATAAATAAATAACTAAAACAAGCAGAGACATCAAAATGAAACAAAACGAGCAAAATAGTATAGGGCTTCAACGAAGGTAAGAGGCGAGTTGAGAAGGAAAACAAAAGGTGGCAAATAAGTGAATTGAGCAGCGGCCCAATGATTTATGTGAAAAGTGAGTTAAATATGAGTAAATATTAGGGCTTCCATGTTTTTGTAGGGTTTACACGAAACAGTTTAAAGCAATAAAAAAATTTATTTATACTAGGGTAAATGTTGTAATTGATTAATAAACTTAAATCATATCATGGGGCTATCACCTCAAGGATTGCAAAAGACTAGCTCAAAAAAAGACATGAAATAGGTTCAATCCAGGCCGCCAATATCAACAAATAAATAAACAGTTACTAGTATGGGAATACAAGTAGCAATCAAATATCATTAAGATCACATTAAGCATGAGCAGTATCTTAAACTATATATCAATATTTATGCGCCCTTTCCGTTATGCCGCACAAAAAACACATTTTCAAATTTCATAGCAATAACAATAGATAACAATGCTGTCTATGAAAGAAAAATAAAACCAACAAATAATTACCTCAAATGGTTTTAATATCGCTTCATCCATGAAGATACATAAACGAACTTTGAAAATTGGGTCACACTTTTCAAGAACTGAGAGAGATGTACGAAATTTAGGCATGAACAATTTCACCTACAATATTTGAAAACAATAAGTTGCACATAACAGGTGAATGCAGTAACAGTTAAGACTGCATAAAAGGAAATTCAGGAAGCCTTACTTCAAAAGCTGTCATGCCAACCTCAAATTGGACATAAAAATCTTGAAGCTGAAAATTATGTATACCATTATCCATGATGTTCCTAACGCGAGACGTGAGTTCAGAGTCATAACATGGAGCCTTTTCTAGCAAGTTGGGAACCATTTCAGTTCTAGGCGTGGATTTAATGAAAAGACTTCCAGCTTCCAAAAGCTGCATATAAAAATTTGGATAAATTAGCTAATAACAGTAAACATAAATTAAAATTAGGCTAAAACTCAAAACACTTTCGAACTCTTAGTACGTGACTAATTCAGTCTCCAAGTATCACTTTTCTTTAATTTAGTCACTTGATTATATAAATTTGAACTAGAATGGTCCCTCATTAAATTTGGAGCTATTTCGTATGTTACTATTTCCTAAATGAGAGTGATACGATCCAGCCTCAAAATTAGCATGCTTTTCATAAAAATTAGGACAAACACAAATATTTTCTTCGATAATCCAAACAACTCAAACGGAATGCAAAAGACAAGCACCTACAATTCGAGTGGTAGGAGATCTCTCCCAATTCTTATAATTCGAGAGGTAGGAAATCTCTCCCAAACCCTAAACCTAAGAAACACAATCAATCTTCTGCATAACTCTAACCTTAGACATGACAAGTCTATTTATACCCAACAATAATAATAATAATAAGCTAAATTTCCCTTAGGCGTACATTCCCTACAAATTTGTACTTGGTCTGGGCGTCAACATAAAATATCCCCCCCCTCCCCCTTAGGCGTCAAAATAATAATCCCAATTCTTACAATTCGAGAGGTAGGAAATCTCTCCCAAACCCTAAACCTAAGAAACACAATCAATCTCATGCATAACCCTAATCCTAAACATATTATGGTCATTTATACAAAACAATTATAAATAATAAAAGACTAAATTACCCTTAGGTTATATTATAGCACTGTGACAAAATAATATACCCCCCCCCCCCCCCCTCCCAAAAAGACACCTACTCATCAAGGTGGGAAAAAGTGAGTACTCCTACACCTCCCCCACAACCAACTCTATTTCTTCATTCTCTGCCTCCCCATCATGCCCTATGAGAACTTGTAATTTTTTTATCCTTGTAGAGGTGACCTGTGGTAAACTTCTCATTACACAGAAAATATAACTAATAGCTAAGATAGAAGGAATTAGAATATCAAAAAAATAGAATTAAGAAGGGATCAAAAATCGGGAAAAGGATAGTGGTACTGTAGCTGTTATAGTACCGCAATGATAAGATTCAGCGTCAACCTCCCGGGGTTGAGGAAGCTTCGACTTCATTTGTCAAAGCTTTTATTACCATGTCGACTGAGTCAAGTTTCCCACGTTTATAGTAGCAGAGATATTGCAATCTCTTGGGAGGTCGATCGTGTAGGTTCTAGCATTTCACAACACATTCGGGTATAATCGGTATCCGTCATCTTTTGGCACAACCTGAGCTAGCACTATAGATAGACAAGTATTCTCACAAATCAGGTAACGAGTCATCCCATTTATAAACTGCTTCTTCCACTTGTACTCAGCGAAATGTAGCTGATAAAACAATGTGTAAGAAGAAATCAACTATGGTGTGAAATTTGTGGGTGACTGCACTCCTCTCACTAGAAACCACTCAAGAGGGACCTCTTCTTCACTAATAGAACATGGATCCTATTGAAAAATTCTCTTCCCCATCAAGCTCCTAATACACATTTCAAAGATGGGGTTCATCTTTCCTGACTGGACAACAATTGATGAGTACCTTGTTGAACTGAATATAACATCTGAAACTCTATGTAATCTTCAACACATGGCCCAAGAGGACCCAATTTTTGACATGTTGAACCTCCCTCAATAGGGACAACTCATGAATGAGCCTACAAATCTGAGTAATCTTAAATCTTCGAATCTAGGATTGTCATGCCTTTGGTGTCAGTTCCTCGAACTCAAGACTTCCTTGAACACTCAGTGTGAAATCGAATGGAGTGACTCTTATGCCCTCAACTCGAGCTACGTGCTTTTCTTACTCATTCGTTGGAATAGGAACATTCTCCTTTGTATTCTCACCTTCTTCATGGCAACTGCACCATTAAATTTTCAGCGCCCTGCTCAGTGAAACGGATCATCCTCATGGTTGTGCAGCCTAATTCAACAGACCCAAATCAATAGCATTTACAACACTTCATGACTATGATAAATTTAGAGATGTGAATTGGTTCCACCTCTTCTCTACTCTAACTTAGTTTTTCCTCTGATTTACTCTGGCTGTAAGATCCAGAGGTTGAACTCTAATTGAAAGATGGAGTGGTCGCTCGGTGATGTGGTCTCTCCACCTTTGAAATAGAGTTCTAAACATTCGTCTTATAGTGAGCGAGTAGGAACTGACGCTGCATCACCCGTTTCATCTCGGACCAGGTAGTGATCTTGTCTTTTCCCTCACCCTGACATAGGCATTTCAGATTTTGCTACCAAATTAAAGCACTCTTCTTAAGTTTGTTGGAGGCTAGTTTCACCATCCATTTCGGGGAGACAGCTTGAAACTCAGACACATTCCAAGGTGCAGTCATTCGATGACCTCATCTAGATCTATGTGACCGTCGAAATTTGACAAATCCAACTTTTCTTCCCAATTCTAGCTTCTCAAAGATTCCAGGTTAAATCTTCGAGATAGAGTTTCTTCGTTCCTGGAATCAACATGATGGAAGAGATTACATGCCTTCGATCTAGCAAGTCATCATTATGGCTACGAGTGACCCATCCGGATTGCCTCTCAAAAGTGGCAAGCCTCTATTTTCATTGGTGGGTTTCCCACTACATATCTTCTCTAAAGATCTCCCGAACCCCTCCTCATAAGTTTCTCATAAATGACATTGTGTCATTTCCCGTCGATCAGGCTTTTGACTATTGACTACTCGGTAACATGGCTAGGTTTTAAATTTGAGAGGTGTAAGAGAGTGTAAGAAATGATTTAAAGGTTGTTGATATTGAAAATAAGTAATAGAAAATTAGGGTTATTTCAAATCTTGCTATGGTTTGAAAATAGGAAAGAAAATTTTCATGGCAAAATTTTGGGTGGTGGTGGCTAAGGTAGAAGCGAATGCTAGGAAACCCTAGGATGGGACAAGAGTTGGGCTAGCTCTGATACAAAATGATACCGGAATTAACCAAAATGACAATAGAAATAAAAATATTATAGCTGAATTCAAAAAGGGTTACAACTACTACTCTTTAAACAAAAAATAAATTATTATAAACATAAAATGACACAAGCAAACACCCCTAAAGTGTATCCCAGGATGGTGGAGATCGGCTAGGTGGATCAAGATGGTTGCGGCGGTGGCAGCACAAAAAAATGCAGGTGGCGGTGAGAGGAAGTTCAAAAATGCAAGGACAAGAAGTATAGAGGCTGTCCTAGGAGATGACAGCAAGGAATGGGGGTGAATAGCAATGAGACAGCAGGCCGAAGGTGTTCACTGAGTGTCCTAGGTGGCAACGGCGCAATGGGAAGGCTAGGACAGCAAGGTGTGTGGTTTGGGCGGCACCTAGACCAGGGCGTTGGTAGGGTAGCTCGACTGGCTCGCCATAAGCCCGTTAAGAATGGGCGGGCTTGGTTGTGAAAAAATAGAAATATTGCATGTCTGGCCTGGCCCGAGCCCGCTTTGAATTAGTCAAAGCCCGACACAGTCAAACCCGGCCCGAATAAAAAATCTCAACACACTGTCACTGGCTCCTTTGTAAGTTTGCAATTCGCATTCGCATTTCACAATTGGCATTTCGTGTCAAGGACTTCCAATGCTAATTGTTTCCAATCAGATTTTTTGGAAAGTTTTCATGCACTGTCGTTGGTTTTGCATGAAGAAAATTTGAATTCCAGAATGCTTGCAATAAAGATAAAGTTGAAATCTCATCACTAGTTGCATCACAAACCAAGTGGTTTACAGGAAGTTTGTCTGGGCCGATTCCTAATGGTTTTTACTCCATCATCCCAATGAGCAAAAAATTTTCCATTCAAGCTGTTATTTTTTTGCTCCTTTCTTTGTCAAGTATTTCATTTGCTCAACTGCTTTAGTGGCAGTACAATGCCGTTGGTTTTAATATTTTCTTAATTCAATATTGTTGAATGTCAAATAAATTTGAATTCTTCATCATTTTTTGTTCTTAATTTGAAGCAGTGAATGACTTGTTATATTTTTTTTACCATCAAATAATCTCTTGTTTTGAAACTCTATTTGACTTCACAACATATTTACAAATCCAACACTTTCTGTTTCATCAAAGAAGCAAGAGAACCATGCACCAATGTTTGAGACTGCTCTGTTTCCTCTGAATAGGATCCTAGCAAACCTATTCTTTTTTTATTCACCTGCAAGGTCAACTACAGCAGACTCGATGCATCTTGCATTTATCGGTTCACTTCTATGCTTCCATTTGAAGTTTTCAACCAATATTTTCTTTTTAAGACCCATGGGCTGACCCTGCCTGACATATAGTGTGAGCAGGCTTGACTATGCATTTTTTTAATAGAAATCGGGCCCAAGCTTGGCCTGAGCCCACTTTGAATAGTCAAACCCAGAAAAGTCCGACCTACGCCAGGACCGGCCCACCCAAAGCCCAAGTCTAGCAGCAACAATGCTAGAAGGGAGGGGAAGGTAGCTGGCAGGCAGAGAACTGCAGAAAACAGCAACCCGAGGGCTGTTGCGTGAGGATGCAGAGAGGTTTGGCTGCAGGGAGTGAAGTGGAAGACTGTGGATGGGAAAATGAGGAAGATAATCACCATCTCGAGAGGGAAACTGCCGGAGCACCGCTCAAATCCTAGGATACAGCTCTCCAAGGAGAAGATGGATAGCAGCAGTTGAGTTGACAGAAATCTGGAATTAATCAAAAGCTAAACCCTAAAACAACAAATAATATATTTATAATAAGTACTAGTAGTTAGAACCAAAAGGAATTAGAATTGGAAGGAAATAGAATGAGGTAGAGAATAGAAAAGGCAAGGGATCAAAAAAGGGAAATGGACCAAGATATTGTAGCTGCTACCGTACCTTGAGGGAAAGCTCTCACATCATCCACATAAGGTGTTCTGTAGGAAGGCAGCCAAAGAGAAACTTTTTGCTCATCCTAATGTAAATGTAACTAATTATACATAGTATGTTGATTAAAATGTAAATTACACTTCTATTCCATACATGCTCCCCACAACAAGATAATCATGAGTATAAATGTGGGGTAATCTGAGTTAAGGACAATTATGACTATAAGATTTATTATTAAAGCTGCATGATGTTAAATAAATAGGTAATAGGCAACAATCATATGTACCATGAAAGAAGGCTCTGCATCTTCAGCCACAAAAGGAAATTTTATGATGAAACTATGGAGAATGACATCCCATTTCATTTTCCTAGGATTTTGTGATATATACCTACAAGATGAATAGACACAAAATCATCAAAATGAAATTCGGTGAGCACCAGAGTTCAAGGTCAAACTTACTCAGCTTTAAATAATAGTCTATCCTTGAAATTTTTAATTCCATTAAGAGAAAGTAATACCTGAAATAAAAAAGAATGTACTCTAGGATTAAAACAAGAAAACATTCTAAAATTTTCCTTCTAGCATAATATGGGCATACGATAAAAAATAATTAAAGAAAAGTGAAGAAAGGTCAATAAAGGTTTAAATTTGCACTATATGTTAGAGCAGAAGTCTTGTTGTAAAAGGATGGACCACGAAATATAAAATGCAAAATAACAAAGTAAATTGCATACAGCAGTTTGCAAATAAATTAGAAGACAAACCCTAAGAGATATGACAAGTACTTATTGTCAACTTCAATGGCTGAGAACTAGAATTTATTACATTCTGATGCTAGTTCACAGCAACGGGTTGAAGGCAGCAGAACTATCCGAAATATTATATAACGAGCTGAGTATCTTCATAGTGTCTAATGAGAGTTATAAACAAAAAGTTCACAATATCAAACTTCTAATATCATAAATAATTTCCTATTCATCAACAAAACATTGACGAGAAGATTATCAGACCTTTTTTATCATTTACATTACTATTATAATAAAGTTCAACCGAAAGATGTGATTCTGCTAATTATTTTCCATGTGTCTGTAAATTCTTTGGCAAGAAAGAGCCCATATATAGAAACCTTCACAAACAGATATCACACATTTTTTTTACCATCAGCACCAATCATTTTCATAATTTACTGAAACTAAACATCATCAAAGATAGGTGCAAAAGCCTACTGCACAAGCTTGATCACGTGTTCGCAAGACGCTTGTTCTAGCCTTTTGGTGAGTCTAATGGTGGGCTGTTTTTTATGCAAATGCCATATCATGGCATTAGCGTGTTGTCTGTCCATGGTAGTAGAAGCCCTGATTGTTCAGCCATTTTTTTTTCTCTTTCATCATTAGTAGATTTTTTCACCTCTTCTCACATTTGAGATCATGTCCAATCAATTCGGCTGCCCGATCAATTTAGGTGTTATGTATGTGTGTGTGTGTGTGTGTGTGTGTGTGTGTGTGTGTGTGTATAAACCTGATATTTTTATTAATTGCCATTGTTGTACTCTTATCCATATCTAGTTAATAAAAGTTTGTTTTGTGATATTAAAAAAAAAACTAAGCACAAAAATATAATGTATTAAGAAGCTTAGCATATCTAATAAAAAAACATCATGGATATCTTCATATTATGACAACAATCTAGCTTTGCTCATATAAGCTATCCTACACAACAATACAACATATATGATATCTCTCTTTCTTGAAATCAACTTGTATTAAGAAGCTTAGCATATCTAATAAAAAAACACAATGAACGCATGTTCTAGCCTTTTGGTGAGTCTAATGGTGGGTTGTTTTTTATGCAAATGTCATATCATGGCATTAGCGTGTTGTCCGTACATGGTAGTAGAAGCCCTGATCGTTCTGTTATTTTTTTTTCTCTTTCATCATCAATAGATTTTATCAGCTCATCTCACATTTGAGATCATGCCCAATCAATTCGGTTGCCTCTACTTTACCTTTCTTTTTCCTACCCTCATTGTCTTTCCTTTTTCATTCTTTCGCTTTTCGCCTCCCTAAACATTTTCTTATTCTATAACCATTTTTCAAAAACTAAAATATGATTTTATTCTCCTTCTAATTTTAAAACCCTTGCATTAAATCTGAAATCTAATTTTATTTTCATTCATGCTTTAGAAGTCCTGCATAAATTCTGAAATCTGATATTATTCATTTCCTATTTTAATGTTTCCTAAATTTTTAGTCAAGTCTTTTATAAATAGGAGTTCTCGTGTCTAGGGTAGGGGTGTTGTTTTACAATTCTGAATTTAGTTTTATCTGAGTGTTCTTCCCTCATAAGGTCTGTATCCAACAAAGAGGAAGGTGCTCCGGCTGTAACCCTCTCCAAGGTGTCGCTGATCCCCATCATTCTGACTCCATCCAGCACTTCGAAAGAAAAAGAAAAATTCTCTCTTTCTACACAACAATACAACATATATGATATCACTCTTTCTTGAAATCAACCGACAAGAATATTCACAAAAGAAAAAGAAAAATTCCATTTCACCTTCATCCCTGACAAGCAATGGCCTAGATGCGGGCTCATGGGGAGAGTCGAACGTGCGCAAATTCCCTTGGAGGAGGGGCCCCCAACCCCCTTCTACTTTACCTTTCTTTTTCCTACCCTCATTGCCTTTCCTTTTTCATTCTTTCGCTTTTCGCCTCCCTAAATATTTTCTAATTCAATAACTATTTTTAAAAAACTGAAATATGATTTTACTCTCCTTCTAATTTTAAAACCCTTGCATTAAATCTGAAATCTAATTTTATTTTCATTCATGCTTTAGAAGTCCTGCATAAATTCTGAAATCTGATATTATTCATTTCCTATTTTAATGTTTCCTAAATTTTTAGTCAAGTCTTTTATAAATAGGAGTTCTCGTGTCTAGGGTAGGGGTGTTGTTTTACAATTCTGAATTTAGTTTTATCTGAGTGTTCTTCCCTCATAAGGTCTGTATCCAACAAAGAGGAAGGTGCTCCGATTGTAACCCTGTCCAAGGTGTCGCTGATCCCCATCATTCTGACTCCATCCAGCACTTCGAAAGAAAAAGAAAAATTCTCTCTTTCTACACAACAATACAACATATATGATATCACTCTTTCTTGAAATCAACCGACAAGAATATTCACAAAAGACGGTGTCGTCCGCCTACCACAAGATCATTCCCTGCCCTCCTGTAGTACGCTGGACCAGCTTCTTCCTGCAGCCAGCAAGTACCAACTTCTACTGGCCTGTGATTCCAGTTGTTGTCCCCGTTTTTCAGCAGGTAGCAGCTTTTTCGTTTGCTTTCCAGACAGTCGCCACCTTTCCTTCCAGCAAGCCAGCAGCTTCCAGGCCGCTGCCATCTTCATCACAGCAGACAACCACCTTCCGTCCGGCAATCCCAGTGCTCCCAAGCGCTACAGATAGCCTTTCTGCAGCCCACTGCCCCGCTGCCTCCCCTCGGCTTCCGCCGCCCTCCTTCCTCCCTATCCCCTGCTCTAGCGGGCATTGTGCCGCCACCCTGCCCCCTAGGCATCTTGCCACCACCTTACCCTCGCAAGCCACATCTTCTCTGCCTCCTGCGGGCCACTAGCTACTGCCTCTCCAGATTCCAGCCTTCGACGACGCCTCCGACGTCATCCGGCTGCGGTTCAATGCCTCTTTCCTGTCCTTCTCTTTCACCGGTCTTCACCGCAACCACTGACCTAGCGCCACCTCTCCAGGCTTCCTCCTCGTCGAGTTTGTCATTATGTGTTGGGTATTTGTTGTAATGTTTTACTTTATATTTGATTTGCATGGTGTCTTTCTTTTTTTTGCGTCATCATCATTGTAACCAACTTTCTCGAGTCATTAATAAAAATCGTGTCTTGCATCGTGATTTGGGTTATCTCCAGTATCAAGCATGATGGGAGAATCCATCATCACGTCACAATAACAAATGTTTTAACTACTTGGCCAACAAAATATCAAGAAAGGCGTTCATACACACTTTCAAAGCAAGGAGCTTGCATCGCTGAGCAACACACACATTCTCATCTTTTAGTTAAACCATCAAAAACATGCAAATTTAAAAACAAAAAACATGAGATTAAAAACATGAGATAATTTTTAATCCTCTTACCATTTTAAAAAAAAAATTCAAGATATTTTAACTCATTATTGCTTAACAGCTATTGTTCTCCAGATGCCAGGCACTTTAAACAGTATTTTAATCACGCCTAATTAAAGATCTTTCACAATTTAAATTGTATCTCCTCATGGTTTGCAGAAAGTAAAGAGAGATAGTTCACTCATTTTGTCAGTACCATCCATCTTGCTATCCCAAACAGACACCCAGATCTTTTGAAGATGTGTTCCCCTAGCATATACAAAGATATTTTTATTTTCTCAATATAAGTTTACGATTAATGTCTTCAAAAGATAACGGACATATAATATATTGCAACCATCACAAAACTAAATATTAAAAAAAAAACCTTTTCAAAAGTAGAAATGTTGCTGATATATAATTCTGCCTAGGCAAATATAATCACAGCATTCAATTTGCATAAATTTCTCAGATTAAAAGCACTTCAACTATATTTCCTATGCCCAATAATGCATAGGTAAAAAAAAAAAACATTCAATAACGTGAGGAAAATGTAATGGAATTAAAAATATAACAACTTCAAAGAAACACTAACCCTTCTGTGCAAGAATTGAAAAGACATCAAAACATCACAGAGATCTAACACCCTCAGAGAAAATTCTGAATCATATGTAGCTTCAAAAGGCTGGAGTACAACCTACGAACCACAATGTTTTACACCATCAGATTGTAAAAGACAAAATTGTTCAAGAAATTTATTTTCTTCGACTACCTTAAATAAGTACCTTCATAAGAGGTTCACAACTCTTGTCAGACTTCTGTATATTAATGCGAACATTCACAAATGGTAATGAGTAAAGAGATGAAGTATCACCCGCAATAGCCTGAGAAGTAATTATAGTTGCAAAGTCAGCCATAAAAAATGGTAAATATTAATTTATAAAGCATGTTGCCACAAGAAACACTACCTTCATTGCAATTAGCATAGTGTTGCCATTAAACGGGTCAATTAGAGTTAAAGAATCTATCAAAGCAACAATTGCGGATGAACTTTCACTAAACTCACACTCAAGACTGACTCCATCAAGATTTGCTTCCACGATCTTCTTTTCATATCTAAATATGAACAAGAGAGTAAAACTGATCTTGCTTACTATCACGAATAAAATAAATAAAAATCCCATCAAGAGATACTAAAAAGGCACCATAAGATATATGCCAATGATAAATAAAATCAAAATAAGAAGTCAATATACCATGTTGAACTGCTTCTGTATGGATACCAAAACTAATCAAATCAAAGACAACAAAAAATAGCCGACAAATATTGGAGCAATAAGCAAGTCCATTTTAAAACACATCAATAACAGTCAAAATCAATCAATCATCATCCATTTTACAAAACAGATAGGGCTGAGGCATCTGGAAAGTGGGAATTATCTAAAAAATACTCCAAGTTGACAAAATGCTGCAAGAAAAAAGCCATAGATTTCACACGAAAATATCAAGAAAATAAATATGATATGCACAAGAAATAAGAATTCACAAGAATAAATTGAATAGTCACCTATGCGTGCAAGAAGAGGACAAAAATTTGACGAGCACGAACATTGAGAACTTATAAGCGAGGTTGGAAACATATACTAATCTTATTTTAAATAAGAAAAGGGGAGATTAAATACCTACTGCAATTATTTCCATATATTAAAAAATACATGTTAGAAATAAATAGCGATGTAATCGAGCAGAGCTAGGTTGATTATGTCATGGATTGGACTTGGTTTGGTTAAATCATAAGTTGTTCATGTTCAATTCAAGCTTTACTCAGAGCTTCGACTTATATGCTCATACTTGGCTAGTTTAATTTTTTTTTTATGTTCATATTTGATTAATACTTGACTTATTTTAATTAATTAAACAAACTAAATATTCAAACTATTTTTACTTTTCTTTATATAAAATTATAATTTTAATTTATAGCTAACTTTTAATATAAAGTTGGTAAAGAAGTTAAAATTTTAAAGAGTACAAGTTTATCATATAAAATTATTAACAAATGATTTCATGAATCAAAATAAATAACTAATTGAATAAATTTTAAATTAGCATCTAATCAGTTTATACCAAGTAAATAAAATAATATATAAATTGTGAGTAAGCTTTCTTATAATCAAATCACATAAATAAGGAATAACAAACTAGATTATTGAGATAAAGAAAATTACATTAAATCTATATGCATATTAAAATTAAATTATACTATATTACAATTAATATATAATTAAATAAATTCCACTTAATTAAATTTTAATTAAAAAATATAACATATAAGTATAAAATATTTAACAAATAACTTATTGAACAATAAATGGGTTTTGTTCATGAACATTAATAAATATATTAGACAATATTCAAATTTTGTTCATTTAACCTTCGTGTTTTAAAAAAAGTATACAAACATATTAATTTACTAATTCGAGCAAACATGATCAAGTATTAATCGAGTCAAGATTGAGTTGTTAGTCAATTACATTGGTTCATTTACATCAATGTGGTAATAATATTAAATTGATATTTTCTATTAATTGCATTATATCAATGTTGTGCCCATCTCAAGTCCATCTTCAGTTCACTCTCATTTTCTCTTGTTTACGTTGTAACATGCACCTACCTCAATCCGCATTCGCATGACCTCCTCTTTATCTCGCACGGGAACAAGCTCTCTGGCTTGCACTTTAAGTGTCTTTCTGCCCCCACTACAATCTCCTTTATGCACAGCCCACCACTACTCTCACCTATGTCGCTATGGGCCAACAAGCACACTTGCGAACAGCCTGGTGCCATTGCCAATCCTCACATTTCGATCAACTTTTCACTGTATATTTAAGAAAAAAAAGCTCAAGCCCATATCAACAGAACTAGATCATCGAAACCATTTACAGTTTTGTAGAATCCTCCCACCAACAATTCAAGTCATTAAACAATACTAAGCCCTAAATCTTCAACATCAACCTTGTACTAACAACCACCGACCCAACCCTCAATAGCCACAAGCTCCTAAAATCCAAGGCAAACTTAGAAGTCTGTTGGCCTCACTTTTAGTTGAGGTCTAGTTTTTCCTCTTTAGTAGCCTAGGGTCTAGCCATAGAGCTTTCCTGTTGACTATTCCTAGAGAACTAGAGAAGGAACCCTCACCATTAGAAATTCTAAACTTTTTTTTGCTCAACTTAAAGTTTCACATATTGGTCCTAATCTCTAGCACTTAGCAGGTGGGACTGTTTGACCTTAAGGCTAACCCTCGGGTGGTATGTTCTTGGTTGGTCTCACACATACACTTGCACATTATACTTCCACTCACTACCTTAAACCCAAACAAGCTTAACCCTTATACATTAACCTTTTTGGACACTCATGTAGATGCTCCCCTAAACCCACTAGCCCTAGGCTAGGGTTTAGCTAGAACCAGTGCATGGAGGACCCAAAGTAGGAAATTCTATTGGTCTATGGCTCAAGTAGGGTGATTGACACTTTAATTTTACCAAAATACTCAACTTAGCCTTTTACCCCTAAATCTAGCCAATTTACTAAATTACCATTGGAACCCCAAAATTGGCTTAAATTCCCAGAATTACCCAAAATACCCAATTTTGTCCAAAACCCATCTCAAACCATTTGAAACTACCCAAATTGCCCAAAAAATTCCAAAATTTTCAAAATTACCAAAATACCCCTCATTTGGCCAAAATTACCAAAATACCCCTCATTTGGCCAAAATTACCAAAATACAATTTGTGGCCCAAATTGTCCCAAAACCTTAAAAAACATTTTAAATGTCACCAAAATCAATTTGAACCACTTTATTGAGCTCAATTTGACTCATTTTGACCAAAAACCTCAAATTGTCTTTAAAGTCTCAATTATCAATATCATCCCCAATGTCCAACAATTTGATCTCAATTTTCCCCAATTTCAATTATAAACTAATATTCATAATGTCCAAACTTGATTGGAACCAAATCTAAGCCCAATCGACCCACAATTGAATTCAATTTCAACCCAAATAAAAAATCCCCAATTTAACCCAAAACCAAAATCTCACTCAATTGAACCTCCAAATCTATCCAATTGCCTCAATTTTGCATCATAAACTATTTAAAACATTTCCCCACATCAAATTGAACCTTCAATGGGCCTTGGCCAAGCTCAATTTCATTCAAATTTGACTTAGACCAAAATCCTCAAATTTGCCCCAAATTAGTTATATCCCCAAATTCAACCAAGTTGAACCCCATAACCCCAAAATTTTCACCCAAATAATATCCAAAACTCTTCATGACAATCACCCACATCAGACTGAACCATCAATTGTGCCTTAGCTAAACTCTAGCCCAACTCAAACCCAAGTCTAACCCAACATCTCCAAAATTGACCAAATATTCAAATTCCTTCAACTTGAACCTCCAAATCAATTCAAAATCACTCCAAATCTTTTCTAAACTCCTTGTGATAATCATCTACACCATCTTGGTCAGTCAATTAACCTCAATGACATGACAAACCCAACCAAAACCCAACTTCAAGCCAAATTGTCCAAAATTGAACCCATGCACAAAAGTTGACCAAGCTAAGCCAAATTGATCAAACTAAAGCCACTACAGCCACCATTTGGACTCTAGTGCCCAGACTAGACCCACCAAGCCCACCCTACATGAGCTATGGGCCAATGGTCCCTTAACTTAGGGGATTTCACCCAATTTTTGGCTTAAACTCAAATATCTTGGTCATCATCACTTACCATTAGGTGTTAACCATCATTAGCCACACCCTGGCCTCCCTGAGCACAGAAGTGACCTGACTCTGGCCAGCCACCACCTCAGCAGCCAGAAACAGCCCAAGAGAGCCCCAAGTCCCAAAACCCAAAATTGAACCTCTTTGAGTTGGCTAAGTCCTATTGGCCACTAGAGTCTTTCTTCCCGCCACCTCAGCAAGCTTTTGCACCCATTGTCAAACCCTGAGCACCACAAGGCAGCCATTGTTATAAATTGACCCCTTCACGGCGAAAGAAAAGAGTGTTTGAAACCTTGAGGAAACTCTGCTGAAATTTCACTAGAACTTCTCCAAACCTTCCTAAGTACAATCCCCCTGCTCTCAGCCACTTACAGCCACTCCAGAAGGTCAATTTCATCACTGAAATTTGCCTTAAAACCAGTACAAATCTCGCCACAGCTCTACAGTGAACCAAACTCCAATTAATTGTGCACACACCATCTACAGAGTGAGATGAGTTGATTCCCCACAAAAGCCTCATCACAGGGATCCCCTAAACTAGCTCTAGACGAACACCTGAATTCGGTTTTGATTGAAATCATATCTAGACAATTTACCACAGCCCAGGAGCTCATCTGAAGGTTCGTTGGACTCATTCAAAGCTTCTACAACCATCTGATTAAGGTCTCCCCTCTCAGACAAAGGTATTGAGCTTTAACCCTAGACCAAGCTTGATCTGATTCTCCATGCGTATAGATTGTATTTCATACCGTATAAACCGAATGGATGTGTTCGTCTTGAGTAAATGAAGGTGTGGGAACAAACCCGAAGTGATTTAATTGAGTCTAGCTCGAGATCTTAAGGTTTTAGTGTGGACGACTTACGGTTTAGGTCAGTTAGGGAGGATGACGGAGAAGATCAAGCCGGACGAACTCTTGGTGAGTGAACAGCGGGCTGACGAGGAGGCTATGTGGTTGGCGACGTCGAATAGCGGAGCGCCGCGTGTAAATCTCGGCACACCGTAGGTTGCGCTGGCGCTGACCTGGATAAGTAGAAAAATATGAATTTTTCTAATTTATTTAAATCTCAGAACTTAAGAAATTCATATCTTTTTATAGAAAAATCATAAAAATAAATTAAATATACCCTCTTGTTCAGTGAACAGAGGAGAATAATGTTGACCAAAAATAAAAATTATTTGTTGACTCTTTGATTTTTAATTAATTAAATAGCCTGTGCTATATTTTTTATTCATTATCATTAAATATTACTCATCATGGCTTGAGATTTTTAGGGCTTATTCCTCGTGACAGAAGGGATGTCCTCTAATTTTTCCAAGGTCAGAGAGC